CTCTCCCTCTCTCTCTCTCTCTCTCTCTCTCTCTCTCTCTCTCTCCTCCCCCCCATCTCTCTCTCTCTCTCTCTCTCTCCCCCACTCTCTCTCTCTCTCTCTCTCCTCTCCTCTCTCTCTCTCTCTCTCTCTCTCTCTCTCTCTCTCTCTCTCTCTCTCTCTCTCTCTCTCTCTCTCTCTCTCTCTCTCTCTCTCTCTTCTCTCCTCTCTCTCCCTCTCTCTCTCTCTCCCTCCCCCCACTCAAGCAACCTAACCCGACGAATGACTTCATCAGCAAACAAGCAATTTCTCGTATCCCTTACGCTGACAGCTTTATTGAATTACTCTGCTATTCCTCTTCTCTCCTGAAATGCAATGCTCCCTGCCGCTCCTAAATGTCCTCTTGTCATGGGCCCGTGTGCAGCAATAAGTCTGATAACCCACTGGGGATAGAATTCCTTGTCGTGTCCCAAATCCTGGATGGCTTGTTAGGGAGGCGGCCGTTATGGTGTTTCCCGATATTTCCGTGTCGTTTCCTATTTGGTTTTTGACTCTTCTTTCTTGTTTTTTTTCTTCTTTTTCTTCGTCTCTTCTCTTTTTTTCCTCTGTTTCCTTTTTTCCGGTCTCTTCCTAGACACTACTGTTTCTTCCCTTTTAACCTTTCTTCTTCTTTTCCTTTTTTTATCCTCTTCTCTTCCTTTCTTACTACTGTTTCTTCCTTTTAACTTCCTTTTCCTGATCTCTTTCTAGACACTCCTGTTTCTTCCCTTCTTTTTCTTCTTTTTCTCCTTCCCTTCCTCTTTTCCTGATCTTTCTAGGCACTACTGTTTCTTTCCTTTAACTTTTCTTCTTTTTTTTTCTTTTTCTCTTCCTCTTCCTCTTTTCCTGATCTCTTCCAAGACACTACTTTCTTTTCTTCCTTTAAAATTTTCTTCTTTTTCTTTCTTTCCATTCGTCGCCTCTTGTTTATCCTGTCTTTCGTACTTTGTCTCTCATTTTCTTTTCCCCTTTTCGTAGTTCCATCCTAAGCTTTACTTCCTTTTCTTTTTCTTAGTTTCTTTGTCCTCCCTTCTTTTATCCTATCTCCCTTTCGTGACATTTCTACCTTCTCTCCTTTCCTCCTTTCTGTCTTCCTTGTATCCATTTCACCGCTTATCCCTTGCTACTACATTCTCCCCTATTCCATTTTTATCTCCTTTCCCTCCTCCAATTTCTCTATGACCTACTCTATCCCTACCTCTTGTCTTTTCCTCATCTTGTTTTCCGCTTCCTCTGTCCTTCTCTTCTTCCCTTTTCTACCTTTCCCCCTCCCTCCTGCTTTTCTTCTCCTTGGTGTTCTCTACACTTCTCCTTTCCTGCCATCAATCTCTTCCTCCTTTTCTGCCTTTCCCCCTTTCTCTCTCTTCTGCTCTCTCTTCTACCCTCCATTCCTCCACTCCTCGTCTCTCCCTTCTCTGCCTCTTGCCGTCCCCTGCTCTCCCCCAATCCCCAGTTCATTTCTCCCTTCTTTTCCTCTCTCCGTCCTCTGCCTATCCCCATTCCTCAGCTCATTTTCCTTTTCCCTTTCTTCCTCTTCATTCTCCGTCCCCTGACCTCCCCCACTCCCCTACTCATTTTCCCCTCTCTTGCCATCTTACGCTCATCTTCCCATCTTCCCCTACCATCTCTTCCCCCCTAGCCCCACTCCCCTTCCATTTTCTCCTTCCCACCCCCTTCCCTCCTCCCCCTCCCCTCCCTCTCCTCCTTCCCACCCCCTTCCCTCTCCTCCCCACCCCACTTCCCTCTTCTCCCCTCTCCCCCTCTCTTTCTCCCCTCCTCCCCCACTCCTCTTCTCTCTCCTTCTCCCCTCCTCCCCCACTCCCTTCCCTCTCCTCCCCTCCTCCCCATCTCTCCCTGCCCTCCCCTACCTCAGCTGTTTCCCCCCCAAGTTATGCTCCCCGAAAGTTTTTCTTCCCTAGTGATCGGGAAGTGGCTTCAGGTGGGGCTTTGCGGCCAAGACACGCTTAGGGGAAAATCTTCTAGACGTTGATGGCACTTCTTGGAAAAGAGGAGGGGAGGGGAGGGGGTGAGGGGTGCCTGCTGTACGAGAATGGAGCTGCGGGAGTGTTCTAGATCGTTTGGGGGAAACGACTTTGTCCAGCTTGGATGTTCATACACAAACACGCCCGAACACACACACACACACACAAATACATATACACACATGTAAATACCTATAATAGTGTGTCTATGAGTGTGTTGTTTCATATATACTTCTGTTCAATTCTTCTTGATATACATATACAAATATATATAAATGTATATATACTGTTAGATTAATGATGCCTATATATTAAAATCAATTCTAACACAAGTAATGCTAATGTTGCTTCTTTTAAGTTGTTGCTGCCCTTATATTGGTAAAAATGTTAACATATTACAGAATAATGTTCCTTTTCAATCTAGTCCGACAAGACCTTGAAATTTGAAATTTGTTCTAAAATAACATTTCTTCAGTATTGCTGCCACCACCCTGATTTTTGGATTTGCTGCCACCACCTGGATTTTTTTATTTTATGGAAACCGTAATAAGACTCAATCCAATTTACTTGAAAATCTTATTTTACTAGCATGACATCGTGGTCTTAATAATGTTTGTGGTATGGCTTGAATCTATTCCTCTGTTGAGTGTAGAATATACCTTGGGAAAAGAAACTTGACTTCCAATTACATTCAGTTACGTATGTTGAATAATGCGAAGAAAAAAGTGGCAATTACGATGGGTTTATTGATTTTAGCTATGATGAATGTGAGAAATTAAGTAAGGGATATTCTCTTCTACAAAATTTATCAGATTCTAAGCTAATGCTACACTCTATGTTCTTACTAATTATAAATCAATAACAATCACAGAAACAGATATAAAAACAAAAGTGAGAAGGGATCAAGACAGACCACTCAACCTCCTGGTATAGATCTGTTTTCTATACACTAGTTCATTAAAATTTTGTAATCTCCATTAGAATCCCCTTAATATTTCTTTTATTGCAATTACCCACCATGGTTATCAAGCAACAACGACAATTTAAATGAATTTCAGCAACCACGGTACCCCCCCCCCCTAAGAAAAAAAAAGAAAGAAAAAATAAATGTGTTTGATTAAATTTTCTACATTCAC